AGAAAATGTATTTAGTAAATACACAAAAATAGACTAGGGTCTGCCTTCTCAATGGGTTAATTACTGGTGGTCAGGATGTTAGCAATATAAGTTACCCAATGGTGATAGCCGTAAAGGAAAGTAAACTGTTTGAAGGTTCTGTATAGAAATTAGCAAGGTTTTTTTTTATAACGGAATGTGTAGATTTTTATGTAGAGAGACAGGAATATTTCTTATTTTCCAAATATGTTCAGCACATTATGGTCGTGTTCATAGTTGATTTTATTGAATAATGCCTTTTTATTATTTTTTTTTATTAGTGTTCCCATTATTTTTTAGTCTTTTTGGTTACATTATAATTGTATTTTATGTCTTATAACAAATATTGGTTCGTTTCAAATTTCATTTGCCTGAAGAATTGAGCAATTCGAACGAGACATAATTGAAATTTGATCTTAATTTCACACTGTTTAATGTCAAGCTATGTAATTAATGTCTAAATCCGAATTAAATGCATTAAGCATGTATACCTATATTTTGTAGATTATACAAGTGTTGGATAATGTTTATACTTCTAAGTAAGCTTGATATATTTGAGAAAGATATTAGAATAATCCAGAATTTATGCTGACAGCAAATCGCCTGTATATAGATAGAAAAATGAATTCAGCATGTACATAAAAATAGACAAAGATGTGCCTTTTCACGGGATTAATTACTGGTGGCCAGAATGTTAGCAATATAAGATACGCAATGTTGATAGCCGACACAGAAAGTAAATTACAGGTACTCCTACAGAAGGTAGTGAAGGAAAGTGAGAAGAAAGGACTAACTATCAATTCTAAGCCGGCGTATAGTTGATAATAAAATGAACAACCCAAGATGAGAACTACAAATTGGAGGCACGAAAATCAAGCAAGTACGAAAAATTAACTACCTTGGAGGTGTTTTAACACAGGATGGAAAGCCGAAAGCGCATTGCGATAGCGAAAGATGCCTTTCAAAAGCTAAGCAAAATATTAAAAAGCAGGAAAATTTCGTTAGAAATAAAGAAAAATATTGGATTTTTTATATAAAAGATTGGTACTCCTATATGGTAGTGAATGCTGGACAATTTCCTCACAGATGAAGAAAACATTAAGCCAATGGAGTTCACTTTCATTTGCAACTTACACAGCGCTACGAAAAAATAAGACTTTTTTTTCTCCTTTTTACTCCAAACACAATCAAGTCGGTAAAGAATGCGAGATCAATCGAACAATCAACTTAATACGCAACATAAGTAAGCTTGTCTGGATTCTAATGAAGATAGCCTGGAGCAGAATTAGACCGAAAATAGGGCAAGAACAGCGTGTTTCCGTTAAAGACTTTAAAAACAGGAAATCAGACAAATATCAAAGAGAGCAATACAAATGCAGAAGGACGTTTCAAAAGGTACGATACGAAGATCTATTTGGGTAAGGCATTAGAATAATCCAGAACATTTACCTGAAACAAACTTTCTGCATACAGACAGAAAATGGATTGAGCAAGCACACAAAAATACAAAGGGGGAGTGAAAACAAGGAGGCGTCTTTTCTCCAACTCTCAGTGTTAGAGCTAATATAATAAGCTGTATGGATATGAGTGTCTGACGATAGCAAAAGCGTGAAACCCAGGGTCACAAACTCAAACTATATATATATATACATATATATATATATATATATATATATATATATATGTGTGTGTATTACGTATACATACATATAACAGGGATAAAAAAGACTTTACTTACGACAATGTTTAACACAAAATCAGTGGATAGACAAGGAAATATCTCTACAACCGTATTACAAAAGGTCAGTACGATGGAACAAATGTAATAGTGTTTGTGGGGGTGAAATCGTCGGGGAATTATTCATTTGTATTCGTTCTGGAAGGTTTTCTAAAAGACGGAGGAATGTGCGACACTGAAATCCTAAGATAGTCAAAAATGCATTCCAAACGCCAAGGAAAGTGTCAAGAAAAAAAAAAAACGTCCTTAGAAACAAAGAAAAAAAACGTACTGAACTGTTATGTCTGCCCTCCTATTTTGCAGTGAATGTCTCCTCAATGATGAAGAGGTGAATTGAAGCAACAGAAATGTGGTTCTACAGAAGGATGTTGAGAATATCATTGACCGAATATGTGAGCAACGACGAAGTTTTAGAGAAAATGGAAACAAAAAGGAAACTTATAATTAACATCAAGAAAAGATAGTTGAGGGTTCTAGGGTACATAAAGACCGCTTGGAAAATCTTATAGTCACGGGAGGTAAGATAGAGGAAAACAACGCATAACATATTTAGTGAACTTGTGTATATCGGTGGTAGAACAAGGTTTAAGAGAAAAAAAAGAATAATAAAATTTATTAAGGGAAAGTATAGAGAGCCATGTTCGCCAATGTCCTGAGGTGGGGGGGGTCGACAAAAAGAACAAGCGAACCAAAGGAAACACTAAATGAACTGGAGACACGAGAAGTGCAGTCATTAGTTAGAGTTATATTTTCTGTTACATTCGTTAGTTGAGTTGTTTAACGGCACATCAACTTCTTCATGGGTCATTTAATGTCGAAATTTAATTGTCTTGGTAGCTTTAAAGTAAAACATAATATTCCGCTTTCACAATAGAATACATGGTAGATAATACTCAGCTTTTGAAGAAATACATTTTTGTGTGGGCACGATTACTAAAGGTGATGATATGTGTGTTTTATGCTGTAATTTTGTTAAAGTTATATCTTGGAATACAATTTGATTTCTTTAAGAAATTGAAGGATATTTTACAGATTAATATCATGAAATTTCGTTCATGTTGATTGTTTGGTCGATTTTGTTGAGCAGCTTATCACCCTTTATGGGTTATTTAATGCTAAAATCTAAATAATTCGGACAATTTTATGGCTTCAAGTAAATATATTTTGAACGCAATTGTATACATTCAACTACAGATAAAATGTATTCCTGGTATCATGTAATGTCGGTCTTTTTATATTAAAATGTATTTTTTATACTTTCATAGTGTTTTTTTTTTTTTTGGAGAGGGGTCACTATTTACCTATAGCTGGGACCCTATCAGGTGCTACTGTAATGCATCTAAGAAGGATGCGTGAATATTTAATATTGTGCTGTAAATAAAATATGCAATATCCACAAACATAAATTATAAGAAATGGCCAAATGGTAACGATATTCAATCTTGACAAAAAAAATGATGTTTGAAACAACAGATAAAATTTTATATACACAATTTACAATTTCTTTGTAATGATGTGTGCAAAGGCATATTTTAGAGAAAAAGTTATTTGCTATTTCGGAAATGTTCAATGTCTAAAAAGTTGTCTGCCTTTGACTAAAAAGGTTGAATTTAACTTAGACAAAAAATTTTTCTATGAAAGATATTGAGTGAAAAAGTTTGTGTAAATTTTTCTCTCTCATAAAGGAAGTTTGTTTCTTTGGCGGCACATAATTGTGTATCTTTCGCGTGTGTGAGTCTCAAATACGACGAAAATTCGTTTACTATTTCTATTTATAGTTTTCTTAACAACGAAATCGGCTCAACGAGGCTTGGTAGCTGTTGCGATTTTTTCCTGAGAAATGCGTGGGCGAATGTTGTATTTTTTTATTTTTTAGCCAATAGGATTTCTTAGGGATGAATTTGAGAAAGATTTTTTTTTTATGCTGGTTGAGCCTATTTTTGCACAAATCACGAAGCTTATTTTTTTATTTAACAACCAGTGAAATTCAAGAAAATGTTTGAAATTGAAATGAGGGTTGCACACATCATTACACTACCACCACGGATCAGATTGGACCTGGGAACTCTTGTTCCAGGCTCCTCAAAATCTCCAATCTTCCGATCAGAGGACTTGCTGTCGGATGTACTTCATCATCATATGATCAAGACATGTAATTTCTATTTGTTCTTGTGGGCCTTCTGACACCAAATATGGGCCACAACTAAGAAATGCTTGGGAAACACTGTCTAGTGTTTGTCGACAATGCATTTTCTGGTTGGGAACAAACAGACAATAAGGGGGAAAAGTACAAAAGCATGTGGAAACAAAAGGTGAAAATGGTGCGATGCGTTTAATTCTTTCTGAATGAAAAGAGTATTAGAAAGATAGAGAGATTGTAAAAGAAAATACTTGTAGGCAATACTTCTATATATGAATGAGCAACGAAGATTGGAAGGGATAAGGGTGCGAATGAAAAGATACAGGAAAAGTGAAAGAAGAGCTAAGAAATGAAATAATGGATAATTTTAGTTGTCAGCACCAATGTAATTTCCATGGAATTGGCTCGCAGTAAATTTAATTCTATTTCTACCAGATTCTATTCAGTTAAAGGGATCTGGAAAAATAGAAAGCATTTTTAGGGTTGATGTTTTTTAAGGGTTTCTCTTAAGAGGCAAGGAAGAATTTAGAAAGTCAGTATATGCAATGGGGTGGTGAGTCGACGTTCAAAAGATAAAAAAAATATAGTTAGAAGTATAAATGTATTTAAAAGAAAAGAAAGAAAACATAGAAAGTGAAATGTGTTCTTTTTTTTTTCCTTTTTGCTCAAGTCCTTACCAGAGTTCTTGAGTGTATATACTTAGGTTGTATTTACGAAAAAAAAAAAGAAAATCTCCCCCCACCAAAAAAAAAAAAAAACTTGCCTTCAAATAACTGTCGGCGAAATGTGATATGCTTGAATGTAAAGATTGTGTGTGTATTGCATCCAACCAGCTGACTGACTACAGGATTGATAATGTGTCTTTTAATATGTGAGCGCTGATTTTGCAAGTACCAATGTGTGTCTGTAGGCTATGGTTTTTGGAAAGATCCCGAATTCTCATAACGCACGTGTTTCTTAGCATCTTGATGGTTTTGTCTTCAAAGTGTGTGCGTGTGTGTGTTTGTGTGTGTTAGATGCGCGCAAGCTTTGATTTTTGAAGTCCCGCGTCTCTGCGTGTGTTTGCCCGCGTTCTACATTTTCCCCCCTCTCTCTCAAGCTTACGGATCAGAGGGCGATGCGGCGAGGGAAGTGGCGGGGAGTACTTGTGGGGAGGGGGGGAGATAAGTGTCGGCTTCTTTGAAATTAACGCGTATGCATTTGATCCCCAGATGAAAAGGCGGCTAGCGAAATAACAGTAGTATAAGAACACAGGAGATGGAATGGCTTCCTGACATTTATGCTCTCCTCGTGGCGAGAGCCCGTGTGCGTTGCTTCTCAGACTTTTTCAAATAAAAAAAAAAAAAAAAAAGTAAAAACAAACAAAAATTTATCATATATATATATATATATATATATATATATATATATATATATATATATATCTAATTTTTTTATGTTTTAAGTGAATTCGCATCTCAAAGTTGTCGGCGTAACATGACAAACTCATTGATGTCAGAAATAATTATGTACTAGCGTGAGAGAGTTACACGTGTAATATATATATATATATATATGAAACTATTTTCGCACAGATCTTTATGCCAGAGAACAGGCGATAATCTACTAGCCTCTATTGCTGAGGGGCATACATCTACGTGTAACACTTTTTCGTGCATATAGACATTTGTTGGTGGATTGGGATTCTTGCGAGAAAAGATATTTTTCAGATGTAGTTCCGAGTCTTAAAAAAATCAAGCCAATACATTTGAATACACTGAAGTAATGACTATCTTCGTTCGAGCCGTTTTTCAACGGAGAACATTTTCAGGAACCTTCGAAAATGGAAAAGACTATCTGTTAACGTCTATTATTGGTTTAAAAAAGAAAAAAAAACAAAAAAAAAAAACAAAGAAACAAACACTGGAAACCCCTAACGAATGAATAATAATAATAAAAAAGATATAATGGATACAAAATGGAAATCAAAAGTGAAATGATAATAATTGAAATATAGAATATCTATTTCTTTTAAAACAAAAACAAAAAACAAAAAAAAAAGAATGCCTTCTTAAAAAATAATTTAACATATCGCAAAATTCTTTTGGAGTGAAAAAAGAGAGAGGTAGGAAAAAAGAAAAAAAAGAAAATAAAAAAAAAAACATGTTGTTTGACTGATCGAAAAATCCATAACCAATTTTGATGGAAAGCAGTTGGATTCTAACCTGGCATACAAATTTAGAAAAATTATGAAGAAAAAAGAAAAAAAAAAAAAAAAAAAAAAAAAGAAAAAAAAAAGAAAAAAAAGGAAAAAGCGAAAAGAATGAAAAAAAGAAAAAAAAACAACAACAAACACATACACACTCACACACACAAAAGAAAACAAATCAAGAAAAGAAAGGTAAATATACAAATTTTATAATTTTGGATTTTTTATTTGTTATACTTTTAAATCTTTACTCTGTCAAGGTTAACAATTAGTGCAACAGAATTTCCAATTTATTACCTACCCAATAACTAATGATATGTTTTGGTCACCTTTCTCTCCGTTAAAGCATTGTGACATGTCAGTGACGAAACATTATCTTATCGCGGGGATATGATTTCCCAATGGTATTTCTGTTAGCAATCTCACACGAAATTCGAACCCTGCTTGCCAATTCCGTTATCTGTGCTGCTAATGTCACGCAATGTCGCAATTTCCTTCGCTACAACAACGAATTTTCTTCCCGGCAGTCGCTCTGCGAGGGTGAAGAAGACTGAAACCCTTGCAGTCAAACCATAAGAAGCTATTGCCCCTTCTTCTATGTGCCATGTCCCTTCAGAATGTTGGCGATCATGGCTCTCCACAATTTCCTGCCCTTCGTAGCTCTTAATCTGTTTCGCATGCGTTCGATCAATCCTGTGAGTATCAAATTTTCCAAGCCTCCTTTCTCATTGTGTTCTAGAAATTTCTACTGTGTCTGACTGATGTTAAGTGACCTTTTTGTTTTCAATTTCTATAACACATTGTCGTTGTACACATGTTTGGTCTATGGTATCCACAACATCCTTCTGTGAAACCACATTACTTAAAGTCACTTGATGAGATTGTCCAGCATTCACTCCCATATAAGAGGACTGATATTAGCTAACAGATCAGTACTATTTTCTTTGTTTCTAATGACTTTTTTCTTGTTCTAAATATTTTACTTAGCTTTTGAAAGGCATCTTCAGCTATCCCAATGCGTCTTCGGATTTCAGTGTCACACTTTCCGTGCTCGGTTGAAACACTTCCCGGGTATTTAAATTTGTACTCGTTTGATTTTGGAAGTCCCAATTTGTAATTTGCATGTTGGAATGTTCCCCACCCCCATGTTGGGCACATTTTGGGAAAAAGGATCCCGCAGAAAACCCTTTCATCAACCTATGTAGATGGGAATTAATTTCAAATATGATTTAATATCTTTTTAATCATTTTTAAAACATTCACTAAAATTCAAGAAAGCTTTGTATAAGCTTGGACTCTAGTGCAGTGAATGCAGTGAACTTTAAATAATTCTCTGTTGACATTCATTAAGACTAGCGCCTTTCAGAAGAAAAAAAGTTACAAACTAACTATGCTCAAAATTTCCATGAGTCTGTAGCATATTTATGATTGGGGTTGTTAAGTATTCGAGCTCAGCAAAACAGAGCAAGGTAGTCAAGCCTCCGTCAAAAATTGTGTGCGTCACTGCCATCATGTACTGCAAAGATAAGCTCATTAATTATATACACCACCGAATATCCGGCAATGAGGAAGAAATCACGAAGTTCTGGACAAGATGTCTATACAAGAGATATATAATTGTTTTGAGGCGTATTATTGAATTGTTACTACGTTAATTCTTTTAGTTCGACTAAACGTGTAGTCCGGAAAATCGATGGTGCAGATTATGGGTACTTAGTAGTTGAGATCGTTTCAGTTTTCATTGTATAGTCTGCGGTAGGTATACTAGATATGATTTTCGAATATTGATTGATTCGAATATAGTTTATCAACCCTTTGCAGGTTATTTAAAGCCAGAAAATTTTTTTTTAGATTGTATGATATTTTTTTTTTCTTTAAAATAATAATGGTTTTAGTGACACCAGTCTTAATAATTAACCCATAGCTGGAGGGAGAAGAGGTGGATTCAAGTGAATCTAACGAACCTGACTGGAATTGGAACTCGTCTCTATTAAAATTCCGAGCAATTATCCATTACACCATCTACACATACAAACTTGCAATATCTGATATTTCTAAGCGGTTATCTATCTAGATATTTACCAGGCTCAACGTTGCTTAATTTCGGTGAAAATGGTGTCACGCACCTCTAAGTTGCCAAGACTCTCTCATATATATATATATATATATATATATATATATATTATTCGAAAATTATAACAAACATATAAAATCACTACAAAAATAGCCATTTTGTTTCAGCACTTCTGGTGTCTTATCAAGTGATGGTGTTGAATGTTGACAGAAGTATTGAAATAAAATGGCTATTTTTGTAGTGATTTTATAACACGTTTGTTATTATTTCCGAATAAATAATTATATTTGCTCTACTCTGTATTGAGCACTCTTTTTAAGAATAGTATTTGTTGGTTATTGGAGTTTATTCCGTATACACAAATCCTATACGTGTGTGTATATATATATATATATATATATATATATATATATATATATATATATATATATATATATATATATATATTACGAGAGTAAGTTCGCTATGAAATTAACCGTGTTTTCATTCGTGTGGGTGAGCAATCATCTTCCCCCACCCTTTCATGCTTTTACTCATTTCTTCACCAAAGTTCGTGGCATGCAAGTGACGCCGTTTTTGGTCAGGGTTTGTGGTGATTGCGAAAAGGTGCCGAAATAAATTGATGTCTGTCAATATTGTGGCCATTACATAACCAGCTGGTATTACCGAATCGAGCGAGAGTTCGTATTACAGTATCCGGTGACACTGGTTGTTATCTGGTTATTTGTATATTTTCCTTAGTTTTTAATCATTTCCCACCAAGCAAGGGGATAAGGTCACTAAGGCGCAAAAAGGTTACTGAGAGTAAAAGAAAACTTTACTCAGTAGAGAGCAACAACAACAAAAAAAAAGAACAGAATTCAAGTAGGCAGATGACAGCGTTGCATTGAAACTTTTGAAAATAATAGTTGATCGGAAAGCTAAAAGACAGAATAAAGTTCCAAAATCGAAAAATATAAGAAACTATTAGCATAGAACTTGCGGTTTCATTTGTAAAATGAGCAGACGTAGACTGAACTTAAATTCGTGAGCCGGGTTATGTCGGAACATACATGCAGGAGTCTGTTCCATAATGTAGCAGTTCCTGGGAGGGAGCTCTATGAATGGAATTTTCTCTTTACAATTGAAGTAAAGAGGAAATAATCCGTGGAAGTTGCATGGCTATTCCTAGCCGTAAAGGCCTGAACTAGGCGAACTAAATAATGAAGCGTGTCTGAATATTAGACATGGGAATAGCGATAGAGTATAGATAAGTTTGTGACTTTTCGACGGTGGGGAAAGAGGCTGCGGAGTGGAAAATACAAGACTATGTAAACGATTTTGAACTGCTGGAAAACGAGTGTATTCCCTTCAGGATATAGGGAGACGTTCATAGTTTTCCACAGCTTCATGCATTATCTTTTACTACTCTCAACACTACCTTCTCATTTATTTTATTTATTGTATCTTTGTAGTATATAGCCACTTACAGAAGCTTACGAAATCATGTCTTTTCAAAACACGTGTGATCATGGCTCTCCACATTTTCCTCCGTTTTGTTACTCTAAACAATACTTTCTCTTATACAACTCTTTGCCCTAGCGGTACTTGTCCCTCTATTTGTTTGCACAAACTTGTTAAATCACGTCTTTTTAGAATTTGGACGATCATGGCTCTCCACATTTTCCTCTATTTAAGCACTACTTTACAACTCTTTACCTTTGTTGTATTTGTTCCTCTATTCAGTTACACAAACTTGTCAACTAGGGTCTATCTCTTTCATTGTGCAGTGTCTTCAGAACATGGGGATTATGATTCTCCACAGCGTCCTGTCTCTTACTACTCTCACCACTGACCCATCTGTATCTTTGTAGCACTTCTTTATCAAGCCATTTACGTATGCTTATGAAATCACGTATTTTTCAGAACATGTGATCATGGCTCTCCACATTTTCCTGTTATTGGTAATTGACATAACTCGTGCTCTACTTATATTTATCAAATAATTTCTATACTGTTTGCAACAGTGTATCATAGAAAGCGACCTATTAAATGTTTCGTTTAACCTTTTTTTAACCCCCTAAGTTTAAGGCAAAAAGATTGTTCAATGTCAAGTGAAGAGTTTGCTAGTCTTTGGAGAGAAAAAAAAAAAAGAGAAGCACTCTTCAAATTTCTGTCTTGAAACTTGACTCCGATATCAACCTCTGAACTACAATATCGCCATTGTATCTGAGTTTCTGGGGCAATAGTCTAATGGATGAAAGTGGTTCGTGAATTCGATGACAATAACTCCGAGTTCAATCCCTGAGCCCGATATTAGACTTTTTCCCTCCCTTGTACTTTATTTTATCCTGTCATTATGTGTATATATATATATATATATATATATAAAAAACTGATTTTAAAATATGGTTTCATCGCTACACTGGAATTACCATGTTTCAAAAACAAACTAAAAACTTCAAATTCAGTTATATAATTAAATCAAAAGCATTAGTTCTGTTTCAACTTCAAGCGAATTTTGGAATTATATATATATATATATATATATATATATATACCCCACACACACAAGACACTGTAACGTTCATATGCTGACCAAGAAATATAACGTAAGTTTATCAAAAATAAATGTTAGCTACGTAAAAGCGTTCCCAAATAAAAACAGAAAACCAACAAACAATGCCTACTGCACACATACACACAAATATACGCTATCAGCTGAATGCCACAGACAAAATAGGATTTTTATACACTTACATACATATAGCAATATTTGCAATTTTTCTGTTAGGCTTGGAATCCATTTAATTTCTTGAAAATTTGGATAGACATGTCGTCTCTTCTTCAGAACGTCGCAAATTATACTAACGATCGTTTAGCTCATGTTAGATTGATAAACGTTTCCCATCTGCTCTTGAACCCTGTAACCCCTGCAACTTAGTGGCATTATCGCCTTGCTTGAAACAATTTATAAAGTTTTAAGGTATGTTTTTCTTATAGGTAAAAGTGCTCAATATTAGAGATAAGAAGTGTGCAAATCTAAGTAGACACTGAATTCAACAATGGATTTCATGATTGAACGCAATCTTTTAAGCCATCTGATAGCCTGACGATTACGTTGCTGCATGAAAGACTGTCGTCACTCAGTTTCACAGCTCACTCTCGTGTGTGTGTGTGTGTGTATATATATATATATATATATATATATATATTATATATACACACTGTATCAAACAATAGTGTTTAGATATTAATTATCGTTAGATTAAATATGAAAGTATAAGCGAAAGAGATGATTTTTGTATTAAAAAATGCCTATTATAAAACAAGAAAAACGGTATTTAACGAAAAATACTAAGATAATTACTTAGTCCACTAATGTGTAGATCGCAACATCTGCCCCAACAAATCTAAAACAAAGGTGACATTTCTCATCATATTTATGTAATAGACTACGAAACTGAAACTCTTAAAAATATGAAATAAAAAAGGAATAAATAAAAAAATAAAAAAAATAAAAACTCAAGAAACAAATCTAGCCTTTCCCTTAAAAATAAAATCCATCAGTTTGGCGCCATAAAAATTGTCTCTTTGATAAAAGTAACACTTTTTTATCCCTTTCTTCTGCGCAACGCACCTGACAGATCTCAGTTGAGTTAGACGCTACTTACGTCTCAAAAGATCAGCATTATTCACTTAATGAGGCAAAGAAGGCAGCCAAGGGATACGGGGAGGGAGAGAGGGAAGGGCTCCCTAAATCTAAGTCGGAAGTTTGCAGCCAACATGAAATGAAAGCTGATATTAGTTTAATTCCTTATTGTCAATTATTATTATTATTAACTAATTTACTCGTACAGTAACAAAAAAAAAAAAAAAAAAAAAAAAAAATTTCAAAAATAAATAATGTCGGCCATATTTAGAGTTTTTCAATCGCATTGACTAGTTTCTTGCATGTGTCATCTCTGGGGGTCTTTTTGTGACAACTGCTGCCACTAAAAAGAAACAATTCAGGTTTTTTAATATAATTAACTATCAGAATAACCAACGAAAACAAATGCTGCACGTAACGCAAAAGAATGACATTTTTAAAAGTAATCCTGGAACTGCATTGCTTACATTTATTTGCATATGTAAGTGGTGCAATAGTTATCAGTATGAAACCAGAATTCGGACGTGGTTTTTGCCTTAACTTTCACACAAATACACTGAAGAACGATTTCTATCTATATCTTAACCCCCCTCTATGGATTAAAACGCATGACAGAGTAGCGTCTCTAGCGATGGTTGGCAACCAATTGGACAGGGACAATCCCTAATTCAAAAACAGTATGCTCCCTTGATTTGTAGTGCACCGTCAAAATAGACACACAGAGAGAGAGAGAGGCAGGCAGAGAGAGAGACAGAGAGCGACAAAGAGAAAGAGACAAAGAGAGACAGAGAGCGACAAAGAGAAAGAGACAAAGAGAGACAGAGAGCGACAAAGAGAAAGAGACAAAGAGAGACAGAGAGCGACAAAGAGAAAGAGACAAAGAGAGACAGAGAGCGACAAAGAGAAAGAGACAAAGAGAGACAGAGAGCGACAAAGAGAAAGAGACAAAGAGAGACAGAGAGCGACAAAGAGAGACAGAGAGCGACAAAGAGAAAGAGACAAAGAGAGACAGAGAGCGACAAAGAGAGACAGAGAGCGACAAAAGAGAGCGACAAAGAGAGACAGAGAGAGAGCGAAAGAGAGACAGAGAGCGACAAAAGAGAGACAGAGAGCGACAAAGAGAGACAGAGAGCGACAAAGAGAGACAGAGAGCGACAAAGAGAGACAGAGAGCGACAAAGAGAGACAGAGAGCGACAAAGAGAGACAGAGAGCGACAAAGAGAGACAGAGAGCGACAAAGAGAGACAGAGAGCGACAAAGAGAGACAGAGAGCGACAAAAGAGAGACAGAGAGCGACAAAGAGAGACAGAGAGCGACAAAGAGAGACAGAGAGCGACAAAGAGAGACAGAGAGCGACAAAGAGAGACAGAGAGCGACAAAGAGAGACAGAGACGACAAAGAGAGACAGAGAGCGACAAAGAGAGACAGAGAGCGACAAAGAGAGACAGAGAGCGACAAAGAGAGACAGAGAGCGACAAAGAGAGACAGAGAGCGACAAAGAGAGACAGAGAGCGACAAAAGAGACAGAGAGCGACAAAGAGAGACAGAGAGCGACAAAGAGAGACAGAGAGCGACAAAGAGAGACAGAGAGCGACAAAGAGAGACAGAGAGCGACAAAGAGAGACAGAGAGCGACAAAGAGAGAGAGACAGAGAGCGACAAAGAGAGACAGAGAGCGACAAAGAGAGACAGAGAGCGACAAAGAGAGACAGAGAGCGACAAAGAGAAGAGAGCGACAAAGAGAGACAGAGAGCGACAAAGAGAGACAGAGAGCGACAAAGAGAGACAGAGAGCGACAAAGAGAGACAGAGAGCGACAAAGAGAGACAGAGAGCGACAAAGAGAGACAGAGAGCGACAAAGAGAGACAGAGAGCGACAAAGAGAGACAGAGAGCGACAAAAAGAGAGACAAAGAGAGACGACGACAAAGAGAGACAGAGAGCGACAAAAGAGAGACAGAGAGCGACAAAGAGAGACAGAGAGCGACAAAGAGAGACAGAGAGCGACAAAGAGAGACAGAGAGCGACAAAGAGAGACAGAGAGCGACAAAAGAGACAGAGAGCGACAAAGAGAGACAGAGAGCGACAAAGAGAGACAGAGACGACAAAGAGAGACAGAGAGCGACAAAGAGAGACAGAGAGCGACAAAGAGAGACAGAGCGACAAAGAGAGACAGAGAGCGACAAAGAGAGACAGAGAGCGACAAAGAGAGACAGAGAGCGACAAAGAGAGACAGAGAGCGACAAAGACAGAGAGAGACAGAGAGCGACAAAGAGAGACAGAGAGCGACAAAGAGAGACATGGAGCGACAAAGAGAGACATGGAGCGACAAAGAGAGACAGAGAGCGACAAAAGAGACAGAGAGCGACAAAGAGAGACAGAGAGCGACAAAGAAAGAGAGAGAGAGCGACAAAGAAAGAGAGAGAGAGCGACAAAGAAAGAGAGAGAGCGACAAAGAAAGAGAGAGAGAGCGACAAAGAAAGAGAGAGAGCGACAAAGAGAGAGAGAGCGACAAAGAGAGAGAGAGCGACAAAGAAAGAGAGAGAGAGCGACAAAGAAAGAGAGAGAGAGCGACAGAAAGAAACACACACAGTGAGAGAGACAAAACAATAGACTGTAATCTATTATTATAAAAATATTTTAATATATATATATATATACTTTATTGTCTTGAGATCGCAAGGAACTTTTTTTTGTATCTGTCTTTATATGAGACGAGGTATTGTAGTTATTTACACTTGTTCTGACTGTTGTCCTCATTTTCGTTGCCATATTCACGACGTTTCGGGCTTTTTACCTGATTCGAATTTCGAACTGAACTCTTTCTTCCACCGGGAAAGCTTGTTCTAATTCCACGTGCCATGCCTCTTAGTATCAGCTGTCTCCCTTTGAGCTCAACTCTCCCAGTTTTTTCTCACCTCAGCTGTAATCCGGTATTGAATTCCCGACACTTACCGGATTCAATCAACGCTTTTAACCACTGGCCCTAAAGACCGGAGCGTTCAACAGTCGAAACGTCGTGAATATGGGAACAAAGATGAGAATAACATCCCGAACAATGTAAATAGTTTTTTTTTTTTTTTACAGTGATGTTCACCCTGTACAGCGCCCGGGAGGCACTCGAGGTAGAAGGTTTGGGCTGAGTTTAAAGCCGAAAAGATGTTTAAGGTATGGGGAATATCCATTCATTGTGAGTGGCCATAGTTCAGAGTTT